CTTCATCACAACTTTATAATTCTCCTTGGAAGAAATTTCTTGAAAAGGCAGTTTATATTTGCTCTAGAAGTCCTTTTCTCCCATTCCCTCTTAATTTTTTTTCATGTTTATTTATTTTGAGAGAGAGAGAGCAGGCAGGGGAAGGGCAGAGGGAGAAGGAGAGAGTAAATCCCAAGCAGGCTCCATGCTGTCAGCACGGAGCCCAATGACAGCTTGATCTTATGGAATGTGAGATCATGACCTGAGTCAAAATAGAGTCGGATGTTTAACCGACTAAGCCACCCAGGTGTCCCCTTTTTGAAAAGACTTTTTTTCATCCTCCCGTTGTCTCTTAAATCAATTATGTTCAGCTTTTGCCCCATCAATTTCAATAAAATTGCTCTTGTCAAGGTCAGTAATAACCTCCACATTGTTAAACCTGCTAGCCAAATCTGACCCAGGCCTTATCTTATTCAACTTGTTAGCTACATTTGACAGAGATGATAACTCTTTCTTTCTTAATAACTCTCTGCATCTGAATTCAGAACACAACACTCATCAGAATATTTCCTCCAACCTAACAGGTTATTCCTTCTCAGTATCCTTTGCTGGTATTGCCTTTTATCCCCTCTTTCATCGAGTTCGGGTTTTGATCTTCTATCTACACTCATTCCATATCATCTATATACTGATATTTGTATCTTCAGACTGGACCTTCAGCTGCCTACTTGACACATCTATTCAGATACCAAGTAGTCAAACTTAAAGTGTACTCCTGGTACACCAAATTTCTCCCTGTTCACCAAATCTGCTTTTCTGACAACCTCTTACATTCAGACCATAGTAAATCCATTCTGACAGTTGTTTTGGATAAAAATCTTGCAGTTTTCCTTATTTCTTTTTTTCTCATATACTACATCCACTCCATCATGAAATCCTATTGGATTTACCTTAAAAATATGACTAATATCCACCCATTTCTCTATACCTCCACTTTTCACCTTTGATCTGAGTTGGCTTCATCTCTCAACTTAACCACTATAATAACTTCCAAATTGGCCTTCTTGCTTCCACTCTGTTCCTCTTCTTCAATCCAGTCTCAACACAATAGAATAAAACTCATAAATTGAAGTTAGATAATGTCACTCTTCTCAAAGACCTGAATGTGCTCCTCATTTCACTCCGAGTAAAAGCCAAAGTCCTTATAATGGTCTATTAAGTCCAACATGATCTAACTGCACCCCCTTCTTACCTACAAATATTATATATTTCAGGGAATGGTAATTTGATGTGACAAGTGTGCTTAAGCATCAGAAACTTTAGAGGCTTCCTTGAACTTTTTCCCTTTACCATCATACGTCCAATCAGTTATCACACCCTGTTGATGACTCTTTTCCTATATCTTTCAAATCCATTTACATCTTTCCATTGCTGATGACACTGTTTCTCCCCACCTCCAGGCAAATCTATCTCAAATCTATCTACCACATTTAATACTAAAGTGATCTTTCTAGTTAAATGTAAACCTATTTATATCATTCACGAGTCTGTACAATTCCAAAGGTCTTTCACTCTAACAACTTTCTTTGATGATTCATAAATTGATACTTGGATTATATAAGACAGTGCCTTTCAAGTAGAAAGCTTTAGTTATAATTCAAGCTACTTTTGAAATGTCTATTATAATAAACTCGTTGGGTCCTTTATTCAAAATGTTTTTTACAGCATAAAATTCCTTTTTTGAGGGTATATTAATCTTTGTTCTGTAAATAACATTTTGTCAAGATTAATTCTTGTGCATGTCATCATTTATAAAATATAGATTTATCTAATAATTTAGATTATATTTTTAATTCAAGAAAAGGTCAGCTATCCTGGCATAAGTACAGACCTATGTACAGACCTAGGCTATTTCTATCTTAAGGTTACTATAGATTTCAAACAATAATACTATGGAAGAAAAATAATAATATTAAACAACAATGATGATAGTATTAAAGAAGAATATTAGTTTCTATAGTTTACAAAATGTATTCACATAAATAAAGCTAATTTATTACTACAAGTACTCAAGGAGTAGATATTATTTCCCCTTTTCAGATGAGCAAATTGGAGATCAGAGAAGATAGGTGATTTGATGAAAAATATCCAGCAAATCAGTGACACTATTGACTCTGGAATTCACTCTCTTTCAAAGCATATTATGTGGTAGTGCCTATATGTGCAGGTTTTTAAATACAAAATATAATAAATCATCTATGTATAAGACATTTTAAGTTGATGAATGTCTACCTTAAAAGTTTTAGTATAAAATTCAAAGTTTTATCTCTTCATATAAAACAAATCAGCACTGTCCTACCACACTATTACTAAATATCAGTTTATTATAAAATTTTTAATGTAATAAGGAGGTGACATCTTACATTAGGAAACCACAGTAACATGCTGTTTGAAACCATTTCAACCTTTAAAAGGTTAGATTTCAGTTCTGTTCAAAGGTCAGACCTGAAAATACCAATTTTGGAATGTGTGGCAAATTACAATTTCTCCACACATTGGATGGTACCAGTGGAGTCCTGGAAGTAGTAAAATGTGTGTGTTTTTATCTTCTCACTCTGGTGCTCAGAGGTTTGGGAATAGACCTATCATTTCTTTTAGTCTTAATTTTTAAATAAATAAATAAATAAATAAATAAATAAATAAATAAATAAATATTCTATTTACCTCAAAGGACTGTTGAAAAAACTCAAAAATTAATCATCCAAAGAAACACTTGGTGTACTAACTGAAATGAAGCTGAGATTTTCCTAAAGCAAGAATCAGAGCACTTGTCATCTCTCCCATTTTAGAATTTTAAATCTGGTAATAGTCATTCAAATCAGTGTTAATTGAGTAATAATTATATATACAGACACTTTCTGGGATCCACATACCATTTTTATTCACAAATCATATCCCATCCTTCCTCTCCTATAAAGTTGAATCTGGTGCATGGCAGACATACAATAAATGTTCACGTTCAAGGAATTAATGCTAGTCTTCATTAATATCATAATGACTACTACTAACATGTATTGAGCATTAACTATGTGCCAGACACAGTGCTAATTACCTTATGTGCATTACCAGGCTATAGAGTAAGTTAATATAATTAATTAATTGGTAGTTTAATTCTACACCTAAGAACACAATAGCATAAAGAGGTTAAGTCTTATAGCTAGGTATGATATTTAGTTCATGGTTAGTAAACAAACTTAGGTAGCCTGACTTCAGTGCCCACAATGTATCAGGGATCCATTCATTTTAGCTTACAATTCTAGAAAGAGGAGAGAAGATAATAAAGAAATAAATGAAGAATGTAATTTTATGTAATAAATAAGAATCTGGAAAAAGGAAAGAGGAAAATTTGACCGAAGTGACAAAAACAATGTTGAAAAGTGGTTAAGAACATGGACACTACCACCAAGTTTGAATCCCAGGTCTGCCATTATGGGCTAGTTAGCTATTTATCCTCTATCTGTGTTTCCTTGTCTATCATAATAATACCTAATTCACATATCAGTTATGAGATTTAAATGAGTTAATACACATAAAATGCCTAAAATAGTCTGTGATACATAACGTTAAAGTATTTGCTTGAAACTTATTGGTTATTGATATTACTATATTGTTCTTTTTGCATCTTTGCTATTATAATTGTCATCACATTGAGGGCCTTACTCGAAATAAGGTGATCTGGGCAGGCCTCTATGAGAAAGTGTATTTGAGCCAAAACTCAAATGACACTCAGACACATGAAAATTTGAAGACAGAGATTCCAGGCAGCAGGAACCAATGTACAAAAGCCCCACAACTAGAATGCCTAGAAAAGAAGGCCAGTGTGGTCCGAGATGAGTTTGCTAGAGCTTAGGTTAAAGAGCTGGTCAGAGCTAGGTTATATTGAACTTCACTGGCCATGGTGAGAAGTTGAATTTTATTCAAAGTTCAGTGAGAAGCCACTGAGCTTAATGATGATAACATACTTTGATTTACCTTTTATGAATATCACTCTGGTTGCCATGAAAAGATTAGATAACAGCTTCCATAAAATATCAATGTCACCACTTTCATTAATCATTATTTTTTAAATCTTAGTTTTCCTAGGGGAAAATAATTTTCTGGATATTTTTGGACTGTTTTGTATCAGTGCTCTTAAAAGTACAGTAAGAGTAAAGGACTTACGTAGAGTGCATACATTTATACACATACACAATACTCATTTTGAACAAAGGTTATACGGAATACCCATATAAATGATACCTTATGATTCTAAAATCCATATTAATCATAGCTAGTAGATTTAAAAATCATATCTCTTTGAGGGAAAGTAGTAGAATAGTTCACTTCAATATAAAGGGAGGAAATTCTTTAGGTCCCACTTCTCATATTTCTGTCATTTGGACTTACAATTATTAGCTTCTTGCCCCCAGAGAAAGGAAACATTGCAAATCCAATTGGGTGGAACCAGGTATGTGTTAACAGTGGGTGTGGTTACTTTCCTTAATCACCTCCTTACCCCCAGCCTTATTTCCTCACACTTCTCCTCTCCAAGTTCACTTTGGTTTAAGTAGATTGAAAGCCCACTTAGGCCAAACCGTCCAACTCAATCTTAACCAGGTTGACGCAGGTTCTGTGGCCTCAAATCAGCTATTAATAAAATCCTATATTGAGTTGATACCACTGTATGGAGAGGGGTAAACAGCAGTGGAAGAAAAGCATTCCAGGTCTCTGGTTCTTTTACTGCCATAATAACATTAAATTATCATCCTTTAATATGTAATACCTGAAAGACCATTAATGTATTCAACAAGAATATTATATTCACACTCTGACAAAAATTGTAATGCCCTACATTGTTATACATGTGGGTGAACGAAAAGCACAGTGCAATTTGTAGGAAGGTTCCTCTTAATTCCTTGAACTCATTAAGGCTTTAGTTTTAAAAGTTCAAAAATATAGCTGCATAAAGTGAACTGCTTTACCTGTATGGCTAGTTCCGTTGTTCTTGACTTCTGTGGTTCCCACAGAAGAGGTGGGCGGACTAACAGGAGGGCTGGAAGTAAAGCTTGCACACCCTGCAGATGTGTTGATTTCAAAATATTCTTGGTTGTGATTCATTCGATGAAAATCCAGAGAAGACACAATAGATGTTCGTTGTTTAGGCTGAAATAAATGGGCATGATGAGAGTATTAATATGATCATGTTCATCTTCAGCCTAATCTCCCCATTGATTTAATCTAACTGATGATTTTATCAAACTATCTGGTTTTTATACTCAAATTATAATTGTACTTTACAGAGAGACACTAAATAATCCCTTAATTAATTAAATAATTAAAAAAATTGTTTACTGAAAACATATTTTGGCATAGCTGATAAAATAACTTAGACTTTTTGTTAGAATTCCCCAGAAGACTGTACAGATATAGTACCCAATTTTTTTCTTAATAATCAATTCAGAAAGTTGAAATTTTAAAGACACCTTTCATTTAACTAACATTTATTAAGCATATGGCATTTTCCAGACCCTGAGGATATAGAGTCTAATAATAAAAGAGCTCTTGAGGGTTGATGGAGGGTGGGAGGGAGGGGAGGGTGGGTGATGGGTATTGAGGAGGGCACCTTTTGGGATGAGCACTGGGTGTTGTATGGAAACCAATTTGACAATAAATTTCATATATTGAAAAAAAATAATAATAAAAGAGCTCTTAAAACGTTGAAGCATAATTAAGGCAGTTCTGTTTTGTTGTTGTTGTTGTTGTTGTTGTTGTTGTTGTTGTTGTTGTTCTTCTTCTTCTTCTTCTTCTTCTTCTTCTTCTTCTTCTTCTTCTT